CCTGGTTGTATATAAATGTACAGTACATATATTGACTGATGTTGTTAATTTATTTTTCTAACACACACACACACACAGTCATAATCCTCCAATATACACATGGAAAAATAATAGTACAGTCAACCGTCGATAACTTGGCACATATGGGGCTCTGGCTTTGCTGAGTTATCCCCAAATTCCGACTTATTGAGGCACTGTAGGTGAATAATGAAGCATCATGGTAGGTGACACAAGAGGTATGGTAGTGACACAGAGGCATGGTAGGTGATGCAGGTGGCCAGATCACCGACCTTCTGGGTTGGGATCAATTTCTGCTGTATATGAAAGTTACTAATACAACTTTTGGCCATAATGTAATTGACTTTTTATATATATTGAATTTGTCATTATAACACCAACTTAAATTTGAAGTTTTTGAACCTAGATCGTTAACCATCTCGTAAAGTACGGATCAACCTTTATTTAACGTGTACCAATCTACGATAATTTGCGTTAACTATGTTGATATATTAAGACCACTTCCCTATATGTGATGTAAATAAACCATCATTAATGTTATCCATCATCTCACCGATTGGGAGTATAGAACGCATCACTTAGTATCAGCCGAGGCATCATCTACCTGAATGCTGCCTTGTGAACTACAGACCAGTCATTATTTCTTCTTGGTTACGTTTGTGTAAAAAATGAACCTTGATGTTTATGGAGGTGTTTTTTACCATTCAGTGAAGGACATCACTAAACATCACATTGTATTCTGACTGTAAAGTGCTCTCCCTGTTTTAGTGACTGTAAAGCTCTTTTGCTATGACTGTAAAGTGCTCTCCCTGTTTTAGTGACTGTAAAGCTCTTTTGCTATGACTGTAAAGTGCTCTCCCTGTTTTAGTGACTGTAAAGTGCTTTTGCTCTGACTGTGAAGTAATTTTTGCCTATTTTAATATACTGAAAACTGCTTTGCGTCTGTTGTGAGCACAAGATGAGTATCAGCAAATAGTTTCATTATTTTTCGTGTTATTGTTTGGGAGTGAAGGAAACACGACTATGTGATGGACATTTATTCCTGTACAAAAATCTTGGCAAAACATCAGGAATAAAGGTCCAGCTCTTAGTTGTGTTTCCTTCACGACCACATGTTGTTTTTACCATTTACAGTTACAGGAAATTACAAAGTTTCACAGTACTGTACTATACAGAAACTTTACCTAGGGATGGGTTTTCAGTAATGCAACCCTATCAGCGGACACAGTTCCTGTGTACAGTCCACCAAAAACTTTTTATAATAAATTATAAAATAATTCATGGCTCATCATGAAGTACATTACCTGTAGCATATATTTTATATACAAAAAACATCTCCTTCCATTCTAAAACCACCTTCCGCATCACGGCGATAGTTCAGCTAGAGATGTGCGTGATGTTACATGGGGCAGGCAGCAGTGACATACAGGATTATAATAAAAAATAATTATTTTGAGATAAACCTAAATTTAACTTGACAATCAATGGTGAAGAGGATAAAGTAAACTTATATCAGATGTATGTGTGAGAGTTGCACGTGTTCAAACTGAAATAGGCCTAACTCGCTGAGGCACCAGACACTATTAACAACCCCCATCACCACTAGATGAAGCAAACTGGCACCAATTCGTTCTGCTAAAAGTAAATCGGTTATATAGAATTATTACGGTAATTTGGTCAACCTGTATTTTTGTATACACTTTATCCTTGTTTCTCTTATATAAATAATACTGAAGTTAGTAAGACTGCATCACAATGTTATTAGACAATAAACGTAAATATCAAGTCAAAACTTCTGGAGCTCCATTAAACACGTCTGCTCTCCACCAGTATAGTACAATGGCTCTTCTGTCAGACATTTTCAATGGTCTAATAAAACACTACATTCTCATTCTTATAATGAGTTCTCTGACAATAGCTTTATGGCACTACAACCGTTGTTCAATAAAGAGTTTGTCGTAAAAATTGTATATGTGCGAGCCAACCGTGATGACCTGACGGCCAGATGCTTCAGTTGTTATCAGACAAATCTGAAGACAGAGTTACAGGTGGATGATCTTCCTGTCACAAACCCACCTTGATGATCTGACCATTAATGTTGGCAAGTCTGGTATAAAACAGCTTTGTACAATCATTTTTATTAAATTCTCTTTAACCATAAGACTCATGAGCAGAAATAATAAAATCCTCCCTTGGGCAAGAAATATACAGTACTGTACAGCACTGTACTGTACAGCGTATATATAATCAGTAACTAAACATGTACACAATATAGGAATGTAAATCTTAAGGTGTTCTTCAGCTTCAGTAAATAATTTTATTAAACTCTTTAACAAGTTGTTGAAGCAATATATGAACTTGTAAGGTCTATTAATGAATACAGTACCCAATTTTATACAATTAAAACTGGAGAATGACTAGTAGTAATAATGTTTATTTCAGTAGGACTAAGAGGGGATGAGTGAAGAATATTGACTGAGGTATTGTTGAAAGATGATGGCAACAACAGTACAGTACACTGATTGATGCCACAGTGTTTGTTATAAACAGCTAATACAAAATATATGTGAGAGGATGTTCTGGAGAATTGTACTGTGCTGTACTGTACAGTATAGTGTTTACTGTAGACATGAACACTGATCAACCCTTTGTAGGGCAGCATCAAACTTATGTACAGTATTTTATTCTGGTTAACACCAAACAATTTTATTCAGCCGAGACAATATTTTGCTCCCTAAAAGTATACAAACAAATAATGGAGCTGTACTGGAGGACGATGAATCACACAAGATAGTCGGCTTTTTTTTATAATAAATCAGTTGGCTGCGGTACTGTACCTTCATACAGATGCTGACCTCCTGAGAACAATGAGTTAATCCAGTGTGTTCAATGTTATCCACCTTGAGCACAATGACATAATACCTTCAGTAAGGTTTATAGTGTAACTAAACACAACTCTCAAGTCATCCTCAAGGAATTATGACCATCAACTAACAGCAAATACTTAACACCTTCACAAATCCATTGGTATACAGTATACATATTCTCAAGAGTACACCATTATTCTCTCTGTGTAGAAGACCTTCCTTAATATTGTAACCTGTGCCCGTCCCACACAGTACTGGGCCTACCCAATGGTTTTAAAGTGATGTGTTAGTCATATCCCAAAATACATTTATTAGAGTAATAATGATGGAGGAAGTGGCTACTTCTAGGCAGATGGGAGGCAACTTAACCAGTTGTCACAACCTGGTGTAATCACTGGTTAACTCCTGTGCTGTGTTCTACCATTAGCTGCATTACACCATAGGTATACTGTATCTCTTATTATGGAAATAATGTATTGAAATTTAATATAAATCTAAGTTACTGTACCATCAAATTACCCCAGTAAATGTGATTTATTAAAATGAAATATTAAACTGTGAATCAATTTAAGTTATCATTTAGAATTTAAAAGAATTAGTTGTAAATAAAGATAAAGAACAAACATTTTGGCAAGTGTCAGTGTTTGGTCACCAGGAGACTAATGTACAGTATATCTGCCATTATGGACACAACATCTTGCCATGTATCAAACTTTGGAAACAACTTATCCATTATAAACTAAACCACAGGAGCAAGATCTTAAGTTTACCAAGTCTTCCAGTAAAATAAAGTACAGTACACAGGAAGATTTACATAGTATCCAGCTTATAAGCCAAGGTCTGAAGGTTCTGTGACTTGACCATCTGAGGAATGTGTCACTGTGGGCAAATATGTTTGACGAGGACAACATTTCATATACAGTGGGGTATGCTATAACGAACGGATCCTACTATGAATATTCCTATAACGAACGGTTTTACCTATAAAATTGAGAATGCTATAACGAACGAATCTCCTACAACGAACATTTAAAAAAAAATTTTTTTTTTTTTACTAATGTATTGTTTTTTTATTACAAGTATTAATGATATTCTTTATATCAGGGGTTTAGATGCATATTTATGCACTTTTTTACAATTTTATATTATATTTTTCAGTGTTAGTGGTTGTATTTGGGGGCCTGGAACTGATTAATCCTATAACGAACGAATGCTATAACGAACAAGATTCTAAAACCAATTAGATTCGTTATAGCATACCCCACTGTAGCAAGAGTGAGGTCACAGCTGCTACTACCAGCCAGGTCAGAGATGGTAGGAAAGGTCAAGAGTGAGGTCACAGCTACTACCAGCCAGGTCAGAGATAGTAGGAAAGGTGAAGAGTGAGGTCACAGCTGCTACTACCAGCCAGGTCAGAGATGGTAGGAAAGGTCAAGAGTGAGGTCACAGCTACTACCAGCCAGGTCAGATAGTAGGAAAGGTGAAGAGTGAGGTCACAGCTACTACCAGCCAGGTCAGAGATGATAGGAAAGGTCAAGAGTGAGGTCACAGGTTTCCGGCATTACACAACTATTTTAATTTATAAATAAATATAAAATTTAGTGGCTTTAAAATTAAAAGATGGACAGGAAACTTTTCTTTTGCATTTAAAATGATAACTAATAATTAATCCTTTCTATCATAAAAAGAAATATATACTGTACATATAATACAATTACTGAACACAGCAGCACCTCCCGACTGTTACCCTGGCCACTTGACTCGGTAGCCAATAATAAATGTTCAACTTGCCTGATTTCACATTTCAGGGTAACTCAATTACTCTTAAAACAATGTTCAAGAAATCATTATCTGTACGTACAGTCGTGGTCAAAAGTCTTGAACAACACTTAACAATATCTGTCATCTACTTGTGAGTTATATGATTGGGATATACTAATAACACTACTGGTCATCACATATTATGTCTGAACCACAAACTGGGATAAAACCCTCCTTAATACCCAAGATCTTCGGGTACTTACATGGTAAATACTGTCAAGTGTTCGAGACGTTTGGCCCCGACTGTACCAGATATTAACACAACAGTAAAAAAAATACACTCAAAGTAACAGATGGATTTCAGTCTTTTTAATGCAAGAACCTAATAGTGTTTTACATAATATATTGAGCTAATAGATTATCTATAGTAACACTGTACAGCAGCAGGAACATATTATAAACATTCCTGTGCTGCCCCTCTCACTTTAGTATCTGCATCACCACACAGACTTATGTTCTTCATCGCCACCACTTGCTTCATTATCATCACCACTTGCTTCCTTATCATCACCACACGGTTCCTGACCATCACCACACGGTTCCTGATCATCACCACATGGTGTTTGTGTATCAAAGTGAGAAGGCTTCTGTTTGTGACTAATACCCTCTCCCAACATCATTTCTTGACCTGGTGTTTGTGAAGTAACTGGACTAGAATTCATCTGTAACTGACCGCCATAATTGTTCTGAAGTCTCTGGTCATTACCCTGAGAAAAAGATTTAACTCCATATTCTGTAGACACCGGGGACAAGCCATCTACAATGTGTGGAATATGTTGTGCAAATTTAGGTGTTGGTATATCAGGGATTCTTGAAGCCACAATTCTGCTACTGGCATTGGATATTAATGGACGTCCACCTGAAAAAAATAAACATTCTTATTCAACAGACACACATTTTAAGGTATAACATTCATATAAACATCTTGAATATGGTAGGAATGTGGAGGAAGGAGTAAAGAATGTAGGCAGTATATAAAACGTCATAAACCTTACCTTGTACTTCTGACTGACACTCTGCAGGGCGTGATATACCAGATTGTAAACCTAAAATTTTGATGTAGTTAGCAGGTACCAAACCACACTGGTTTTTGTTGGATGCCAAGAGCCATCCACGGACATTAGGCTGTTGGTCTTTGGGTGCCAAGAACAGGGCCTGGCCGGCTCTAAATGTAAGTTCATTCCTGTTTCCTGCCTGAGAGAGAATTTAGGGATAAAAACAGGTAGTTGTATAATGTATTTGTTGGTTGTCTAGTAACTTTGTGCCATTACTAACTACATGTGCTTAACCTGCAGTATTTTAACATCTTAAGAAAGTAATAATTATTTACTCAAAGATCACGTGATCCTCAGACAACCAACTCAAATAAATTGACTTTTGTAACTGCAAAACATTAATTAATATGTTAAAAAAATATATGTAAACTTGCCAAGACAGTTATAGTCTGAACAGAGCAGAAAAGTACAGTATTACTTGATTAAACTGACTAATGGATACAAAACAGTATGAAAGCCATTCCAAATATATTAATATGTATTGTAAATTTATTGGCAAAAATATGATTTAAATGGTAGGTAACAGTTACTGCAATACTGTTCTCTTAGAGCAGAGTTAAATATATAAGCTCTTCCAGAACACAGAAGGCAAGATTATGATATATAACTTAATATATCACAGTTTAATAGAAGGCAATACTGTACTGTGTTGGACTGTACTCACCTCAAAGTTGTACTTAGCAACAGCAGCATAATGTTCACCACGGCCCTGCAGCCAATTCCTATTTTTGGCAATAGTTGGTGCCAGTGATGACAGGAGGCGCCATATGAGGTAGGGGCCACCAAAGACCACAGCCAGAAACATGACTATGGGCCATGAAGACTTGGAAGCCTTAATATCTGCCTCTGTGATGATGGCTGCAGCCGACTCACTATGAGCACCAACAGTACGCCAGGCAGCCTCTAAACTTGGATCCTGTGATCTCAAACCTGAGAAATATACCAAGTACTGTACAGTCGGGGGTCAAAAGTTCACCCCCTCCCAAAATGAAGCAGTGTCGAGCCCAGATGAGATGAAACATTCACGGTACGTCAGTTCGGAGACTCGTTCCAGGGACTCGGTTTCACCACAGGGAACGAACTTTTGTCCCCGATTGTACAGTAGCTGAAACAACTACCTGTGCAGGTGGGGGTCGATATGATCCCCCGAAATTTTATGTGTGACTAGTGACAGCCCTCATATAGTACCAATATTTATCAGCCATGGTCTTTATGAGGTCTGTCCAAAAAGAAACCAAACTTTTTAAAAAACAAATTTATTGCTTTACTTACAACTTAATCAGACTTGTCTCCTTCAAAGAACTCCCCTCTACTGTTGATACACAGCTCCCAACGATTTTTGCCAGTTCTGGAACGCATCCTAGAATGCGTTTTGAGGGATGGTGCGCAGGTCTCGTAGCGAATTTTCTTCTATCTCTTCTATTGTTTGAAATCGGTGACCATTCAGGGTGGGTTTCAACTTTGGGAAAAAAAAACTCGGAAGGGCCAACTCCGGAGAGTAGGGCGGCTGGGGGATGATAGCCATCTCTTGCTTCGCCAAAAAGTCATGGATAAGGAGCGACGCGTGAGTAGGTGCATTCTCATGGTGCAGCATCCAGGTCTTGTTTGTCCACGCCTCAGGCCTCTTTCTTCGCACTGCCTCCTTCAAACGCTTTAGGACCTCCAAGTAAAACTCTTTATTGACTGTCTGACCACGTGGAACAAACTCATGATGAACGACGCCCTTCCAATCAAAAAAGACGATCAACATCACCTCCACATTTGAGCGACTCGACGTCCAGATTTGGGATCGTCTTCGGTGGATGTTCTTTCCCTTTTGAAACGCTGGTACTGTACCACATGTGACATTGCGTACGGCTCAAACAATCCTCCCCATAAGTCTGGTGCAACATTTGAAAAGTCTCCTTAAAAGTTTTTCCCAATTTGAAACAGAATTTCACGCAAACAAGTTGCCCTTCAAGATCCTTCATTGTTCAACTTTTAACAAATCGCCAAGTGCACTAAACACACGTTCACTCTAGCACGTGTAGCTCGACGACTAATTGACGTGGCGTGATGCTGCTAGTGTTAGACTAAAGGTCAAGGTCACCGCTACACAGCGCTCCCGTCGCGAGCACACTGAGCCGGCTCGTTGGCCCGCTATTTAAAAAGTTTGGTTTCTTTTTGGACAAACCTCGTACATGTAACTAGTGACAGCCCTCATATAGTTTCAGTTGTTTTAGCTACTATACATACATACAGTATTTCTTCATCCAGTTATAAAAAATATAAAGAAATAATCCTGACTGACACATCTGGGACTCATAAAATTAATTAATTAGCCTAAAGTTAAAAATTTTACCTGGATGGATATATAAAGTAAAGCTTAAAACATCTCAGATAAAATTAAATTATTAAACTGGATTTTAAAATCACTTCATAATTATTTTCTCTCTAATTTTTGCAAAAGTTTCCTGGCTGCCCCCCGTATTCTAAAACAGTAAACCTAAACTATAAACCTAAAGCAGTTCTGTAAACCTAAAACAGTAAACCTAAACTATAGACTTAAACATCTTTTAACAGGGAGCAGTTTACACTTACCAATAAGATATAAAAGTTTCCTGTACAGCCAGCGTAAAGTTCTAACTACAGCAAGAGCGGAAAATATTTGAGCAAAATGCGACTTCATTCTTGAGAAGTGGTCAGCGACTCCCAATACTGCTCGAAATGAACTGTTTGGGGGGAAAAAGAAAGCAAGGTTAGGTTAGGGTAGGTTAGTTAAGGGTAGGTTAGGTTATGTGGTGTTTATGTTATGTTATGTTGGTTAGGTAATGTTATATTATGTTATATGTTATATTATGTTATATGTTAAATTATGTTTGTTATGTTATATGTTATGCTACATTATGTTATGTGATGTTGTCATGTTATGTTATGCTACATTATGTTACAGTAGAAGTCCAAAAAGCCGGACTGCTTGGGGATTGGGTCGGTCCGGATTTTCGGATTTTCCGGATTCTCAGGCAGTACTTTTAAAATTCAAATTAAAGGAGGAATAAAGAAGAGATGAACAGGTACATTTTGATAGTTTATTCATTAGCAAATATAGCATGGTTCATTTATCAAAACGAGCAGTTTTAAAGAAAAATAAAGTCAACACCTGACAAAAATGTAAACAAACATTTTTCACTGCAGTAAACAAATGAAAGCAGAATTTATTTTATACAAATAGATTATTTATTTGTAGTTTATTAACGAAACATTTTCCTATAAATACAAAGTACAAAACAAATAAATATTTATTCGTTGATTTCCACGACTTCTATATCGTCTGCTGCACTGCTTGTGGATGGAACACTTGCAGCTTCTACTGCACTGCTTGACACTGCTTTCTTTAAATACTTTCGTATATCACCTTGTTTACGACTTTGTAATTTCTTTGTGATAAGATTATTCTGCACCATGTGTGCCTGCATGACGTCTTGAAGACTGAAGCTATGGTTCTGTTCCACAAATTTAATAACTGTTTCAATGCCCTTTTCTGCAGCAGCCCAAGATATCTTTTCTTCAACTTTGTCGTCGTCTTCACCAGATTCTTCTGAACAATTTTCTTCTATCTTCTCAGGAGTTGTAATGCTTTGAATGATTTCTTGATCAGTGAAAGTGGCAGCAACTTCAATATCATCGTCAATGTGTATCCACTCTTCTATGTCAGCAGCATTAAGCTTGCGTAGAGGGTTGTCTTCCAGAGATAATTTAACAGTCTCCATCAGTTCTTGCACTTCAGATGCCCTCTGCTTTATGTGGAATCCTTCAAAATCTTTGTCTTGATCACACACTAGATCTGCAAACATCACTTTCGGCCACAACTTTCGCCACGCTCTTAAAAGTGTTTCACTCGTGACTGCATTCCAGGCAGTCACGAGTGAAAATATTGCATCCTTGATCGTAAAACTGCGTTGAAATTCTGTAGGGTTGACATTCTTATTCATCATTTTTGCCATAAAATCATTTTTAGGGTGACATTTAAAGTTCCTAATGACTCCTTGATCCATGGGTTGAATCAATGATGTTACGTTTGGTGGCAAGTAACATGCATAAATATTCCCGCAATCAGACACTAATTTTGATTCATGCGGGTGGACCCTACAGTTGTCGAGAAGTAGCAGGCACTTTGTATTTGCAGGCTTCCCCAATTTCCTTAAGTTCTGACGAACTGATGGAACAAAATCATGAACAAACCAATCGCGAAATATGTCTTTGTCCATCCAAGCACTCTTTTGGGCTTTATAGGTCACAGGCAAGTGCACAATTCCTTTCAAGGCCCGTGGGCTAGAGGGTACGTGTTTTTCGAATCTTTTTCAGTTAAAAAACCTGTTACATCACATGTATATTTTACCTAAACTGCACCTGAATGAATATATTCTCAGAAATAAATAGTAGTTTTGCTGAAACGTGATGTATTTCAATGTAAAATAGGATAAAATACATGACGAAAACAAGACTTTACCTAACCTTCCGATGTTCAAGATATGTTACTCGTTTTTTTAATAGTTTTCGGTTAAAATACTGTTATATTACAATGATATTCTATTCATACTGTGCTTGATTTACTACATTCACGGAAATATAATATTTTTGCTGAAATGACGTACGTATTACAGTGGAAAGTGGGATAAAATTGTGACGAAAACAATGACTTTCGCTTTCTTTCGTTCAAAAGATGTTACCGTAATCGCTTTTCGAATGGTTTTCAGTTAAAAAACTGTTGCATCACAAGTGAATTAGGATAGAATATTATTGTAATACAACAGTTTTTTAACTGAAAACCATTCGAAAAGCGATTACGGAAACATCTTTTGAACGAAAGAAAGCGGAAGTCATTGCTTTCGTCACTTTCCACTGTAATACGTACGTCATTTCAACAAAAATATTACATTTCCATATTCTCAGAAATAAATAGTAGTTTTGTTGAAATGTAATGTATTTCAATGTAAATTAGGATAAACTACATGAAAACAAAAGACTTTACCTAACCTTCTGATGTTCAAGATATGTTACTCGTTTTTTTAATAGTTTTTGGTTAAAATACTGTTATATTAGTGATATTCTATTCATACTGTGCTTAATATAATACATTCCCGGAAATGTAATATTTTTGCAACTACAATGCTGATGTCAACACAAGCGTGGTTACAGCGAGACTGACTGAGTGAGGGTGACGACGTGCTATGTCTGTGTGTGTGAGGTAGCGGGAGCGGGCGGTGTGCAGTGTTCGGTGCCGTGCGCGATTTGAATGTACTTCAATTACTTCAATGTACAGAATATTCCTCCGGCGGGGCAATCCGCGTATTTGCGAATCCGTGAATGCTAAACCCGCGTATGTGAAGGGCCGACTGTACTGTAGATCTCATGTCTTTAAACACTTTATAGAGATAAGGCCTACAGTAATACATCTCTTCCAGCCTAAAACTGTTTCACAAGATAAGGATAAGAATGACTATGTGCAAGAGTACTGTACTATTTTGTTAATAATAAAAGGTGTTTACTATATAGACAAGCCGTGTCTCCTACAGGACTTTGTAAACATAATATGGCGTGATAAATTGTCACATCAAAGAAATATTTAACACGACAGTATACTGTACCTGTATACAGCATGATATGTTGATTCTAGCATCATACTAACAGAGCCAAATGCATGGACAATGCTTTCTATACTCTGGAAGGCTTGACGAGAACTGTCCTCTGCCAGACGTATAAACCTGTAATGTTGATGGTACAGTATTAATTAAACCTAACCTACAGTAAACAGATGGTAGCTAGCTTGTGAGCCTTTTACCACAGTACAATGAGTCACCCCCACACAGCATCTGGTGTTGTATTCTCAAAACTTTAGTGTTTCTGTGTGAAACTGGCTCCTAAAAGACTGTTGTCAGTGCTAGTGATGCTAGTGGAGTGAAATGTAAAAGGCACAAGTCAGTGATGACCCTGACAAAGAAAGTTGTATTATTAGATAAGTTATAAGAGGTGGATGAGTCCTGCTGCTGCCCTGGCTGGTCTAGGTATACAGTAGTTCACTAGGTATACAGTAGTTCACTAAGGTAGTATGGTTCACTGGTCAGGTATTGTTCACTAAGGTAGTATATAGGTATACAGTAGTTCACTAAGGTAGTATATAGGTATACAGTAGTTCACTAAAGTAGTATATAGGTATACAGTAGTTCACTAAGGTAGTATAAAGGTATACAGTAGGTATACCCCAATCCTTCAATAAATCCCTCTTACGTATCATCAGCTGTAGGTCCTGTAGCTCCTCCCATAAAACCCAACCTATTGTAGTTGCCATAACCACCACCGCCATAACCACCACCACCATATCCACCACCACCATAGCCACTACTATAGTAAGACCCCGATCCCATGGTACCTAAGGCCCCATAGGAACCATAGGAACCGTGCATAGGGCGTGAATATGTGTTGCTATAGTTTGTGGTGGATGATGGTGGTGGTCGTGGTGGTAATGGTGGTTGTCTGGTTATGGGTTGTCCACCACCACCACCACCACCACCAGGAATCATGTGTGGTGGTCCCGACACAAATCTGAAAGAGTAAACATGTATTAAATTCTAAAGTAGGTTTGTTTTGTGTGTGTGTGTGTGTCAGTTTGTGTGTGTGTGTGTGTGTGTCAGTTTGTGTGTGTGTGTCTGTTTGTGTGTGTGTCTGTTTGTGTGTGTGTGTCTGTTTATAATAATAATAATAATAATAATAATAATAATAATAATAATAATAATTAACGGTTTATTGAAAGAGCTTGGCAGCCAGTTTATGTGTGTGTATGTCTGTTTATGTGTGTGTCTGTTTGTGTGTGTGTCTGTTTATGTGTCAGTTTTAAAAAAAAATAATTAATGTCTACAAAAACAATTCCTGAAATTCCTTTATGTAACAAATACTAGTAATTGTTCAATACCTCAATGGAAGATATGTGAAAATTATTAAAAAAAAAATTACAAACAATTTTTAATCACACAAAGGTTCAACAAGCATCACAAAAGGGAGGTAACTGATTGGTTAGGTTATGTTTGGTTTGGTTAGGTTAGGTTACGTTACATTGTTAGGTTAGATTTGTTTGGTTTGGTTAGGTTAGGTTGTTAGGTCAGGTTATGTTACGTTACATTGTCAGGTTAGGTTTGTTGATCAATGTGTTTTTCCAATGTTAAAATCCATGGTTGTCCACTTGTAAAACATTTACTTAATATTTGTACAGTACCAAGTTGTTTTCATTGGCCAAAAAACTAATCAAAGTTTGGCTATTTGCAGACAACCAGCTTATAACACTGTAGCTAGGGTGGTTGGACAGCTATTTACTATCAGTTTTTCACGCTGATTATAATGATGATGGTTAGGTTAGGAATTACTAATTGACCCTTTGGTGGGGGTCAAGACTGGCAGTGGAGGGAAGGTCAAAGATTAATAATTATGCATTTCTAAAACTATCGGTAAAATGATCGTTAAAGTCTTCCACCTATTTTTAACCTAACTGGTAAAAATAGGTCACAGCACTGCTTCTAAAACACCGGTAAGGAGTTTAGTTTAACGAGCTGTAAAAGTGAATGGTTATTACCCTTACAGAACAAGGTCAAGATGAACTACCTGGACAATTATATACCTCAGCTTACAGGGACAATAAGACACTAGCTTAACTACACAACTAGGTGTAGTACTCAATAACTGCATTACTGTTACTGTACTCAATAGCTGCATTACTGTTACTGTACTCAATAACTGCATTACTGTTACTGTACTCAATAAAGGAATGACACAACTTCGTCACAAACACTTACGCATTGACTTGATCAGGGTTGAAGTTTGGTTGCCTGTGGTTGACTCCTTGCTGTCGTTCCCATGGTTTAGGAGGTGCAGCCATTAATATATTACTGTTGTTAGTTGTCTCTTGTTTAAACCATTACTACCTGAACAACCAGTCCCAGACCCAGACCCTGCCAGCCAGTACACAGTCAGCTGGTGCACACACACACACACACACACAGAACCCTTAATTTATTATCTTTATTATTTATTCATTATTGCCTTTAAGAACTTTATTAAAAATTATAAAAAAAAACTTAATTGATGTGTTATAATTAATAGCTCTGCCAAACGATAGTTAATGATGGCTGCTAAGTTTAGCGGGATATTGTTTTTTGCTAAGAATTTTGATACTTGTGAATATTAATCAGTAGTTATATAACTGATAAAGACCTAAGAATATATTTCATAATACAGTAATAAATATAATACCAAAGGTTTCTGCATAAATTATTTTTTTACAACAAAACATTAATATAAAAAAAACATTAAATAACTGAGTTCTCTTATAACAAATGACAAAAATATCTGGAAAAAATCTACATTTAGTGAAATATAAAGACAAAAATAATGATACACTGAACTACTACTGTAACTTAATGATCTTAATGACAATAAATACTACATATTTTTACCACACTAACCTATTGGAAAAATTTACTACCAATATTACCAATAACAAAAAAAATCCACTTCCTGATGAATCTATTTAAAAATAAAAACTTCGGTAATAATTTCAATACTAAAAAATTAAGTTACGAATAATAATGATATCAAAAAAAGATAAAAGTAATATATAGCAACAATAGCTGAACTAGTAGCCAAGTAAAAGGGGGAGAGAAGCTAGCATCATGAGGACTAGTCTCAGTTTACGTCACAACAGTCGATGAGATGGACGTCGTCTCCTCGTCATTCATCGTAAAATCCCTCATAGCTGGAGGTAAGAATATCGTTTATTTCCTTCCTATGTATTAAAGTCACATTGTTTTCCTCTCTTCTTAATAATAAACTGTAAAATATAGGGGTAACGATAGAGAATATGGATAAAAACCGAAATTGAGGTATGATAGGGGCTAGCCCACCCAACCACCATTATATTGGTCTGGTTATATATATTGTATGTGTTGAAGTAACCCTAATGGATGAACGAGGTATTGTATGGCTATATGATTATTATATATATATACACAGTAATATGGTGCATTTTTACGTATAAGTGGAATGAGTGTTTAGTTACCCATTTACATATAGACTCTGATCATTATAGCTTCAGTATTTAGCTGTAAGTGGATGTAATTCAGTATAGTCATCATTACGGAAGCTGGTAAAGACTGTCATATTCTTCACTGTGAAAAATAGCTGTACTTAATTGTAGTTCTGTCTCAGTGTTGCCAGTTGTCACCTAACTGTGGGAGTCTTCCGGTACACAGATGGACTTTGATACACTTGCCTGTAGTTCATTTTGCTTGTAAGTATATGCAGTTAACACATTGTTTTCTGTGTCTGGAATGTATTTTTTTAAATCCTGTGTAAATATATTGTTGTTTACTGTACTGATATTTGTTGTTTTTATAAGTAATGCGTAATCGTTGGCAACTGTGTGGTGTGGGCCAGGTGGTGGTGGTGTTATTCACCTCAAGAGACAGATGGACGGTGTTAACTTGGCCTTTAAAATATATTCACTCCATTTATAGCTTCCTCTTCAGTAACCATTAATTTGTGCTGGCAGATGAACTTACGACAGGATTCCATATATATATATATATATATATATATATATATATATATATATATATATATATATATATATATATATATATATATATATATATATATATATATATATATATTTCATGTAGATCCACAATGAAAACGTGGATAAGATAAGTCTTGATAAAATCACACGGGAAAAGGGAAACAACGGAGCACCTTATCTTTCGTCTTTATTCAAGACATCTGAAGATGTTTTGAATAAAGACGAAAGATAAGGTGCTCCGTTGTTTCCCTTTTCCCGTGTGATTTTATCTGTATATATATATATATATATATATATATATATATATATATATATATATATATATATATATATATATATATATATATATACATATATATATATATATACATATATATATATACATACATACATATATATGTACAATCCTCAGTCTAGTTAATTTAAAATACCACTAATAATATTTATTCAGTAAACTTGTCATACAAGTGTACATTTGGATAAACATATTAGTAAACTGCAGGTATACAGTTCAGGTATAGGTGCAGGTAAGGCCGTGGGGGTAAACTATGTGGCTAGACAGTGCAGGTAAACAACAGTGGTAAACAGTAAGGCAATTTGACCAAGGGTAGTTGATAAGGCTGTTAACTGGGCTGTCAACTGGGTAAAATTATCGTTTCGGTCATACACCTATTTAAAATGAAGGCCACAGTTGTTCAAAACACATCAAAAACTATCTGACAAACATAATTCTAACCTAACCTAACCTAACTTAACCTAACTTAACCTAACAGTAACCTAACCTTATCCTAACCTAACCCAAACCTAACCTCGCTAGATGACTGCGACAAAAATACCACCAACTGCTTATTTCCAGGAAGTTCTTTATAAAAATTCAGTTGTGCTGTCACTAAGTTGTGTAAAATTTATCTGAGACATCCCGTAGCTTACAGTGAAGTCCAGGTAAGTCTTTCGGTGTATTTATTTATTTATTTTTTTTTACAAGTACACAGCCAATGAATCTCTAGGTTAGGTTACGTTGTTAAGTTAGATTTGCTAGGTTGGGGTAGGTTAGGTTAGGTTACTTTGTTAATTTTACGTTGTTAGGTTTGGTTAGATAGGTTAGGTTAGTTTAGGTTAGATCTGTTAGGTTAGGTTAGTTTGGGTGCATTTTGGTTGTTGAGCAATGTGTTTTTTTATATTAAAATCCATGGTTGTCCACTTGTAAAAATTTACCAGGTGTTGTAGATTTGTAAAAACTTTCTTAATTAATGGAAATATGGTAGTACATTTAATTTTAAAAAGTGGATGTAGTTAGTATCGGCCATTGTTGATTATTTTAACTTTTAACAATGCAGTTTAACCTTACAGTATAGTACAGTATAGTGAGTGGATCTGTAAATTAGACTGCAACATTACAAAGTACTAAAACTATCACACATTAAGTATTACACTGTTCAAACACTAATTTATACTAAGCACTGCACTGTACATCAAATTATTAAATAATACTGTACACTACACAATATGCCAATCATTATAATGTACTGAACACTACACTGTACAAACACTATTATACCGAACACTGCATTGTACATCAACACTATACATCATTCAAAACATTACATTGTATAGTGCAATATTTACACCATTATGGTACAACATAACTTAACCATTACACTGATCATTAATTTGTATTCCTAGCAGTATTTTGTACATCACAGAACACTATCGTACTGTACAAAACTACTACACGGTCCACTATACTATTCTACTGTACATTGAACTACACTGTATGCTTAATTAAGACTCTGCTGCACCATACACTAAACATTATGCTGTACATAAAGGAATACTGTATACTTAAACACTACACTACACAGTACATTAATCACAACCTTCTTTACCGAAATACAGTAATGTACAGTACACAATAAATGCTGACTTGACACCGTCATGTTCAGCTAACTACTACATTGTGCATTAATACTACACTTTAAACTAAACCCTAAATTGAACATCTACACTTTTAACCGTATACTGTGTACCAAACATTACACTATACTGTACATTGCAGTGAAACCTCTATATAACAAACTACATTGAGAGGAAAATCAGTTATATCGAGGGTTCGTTATCTAATGAAGTAAATAGAGATGAAAGTCCATTATACCAAGGGTACCGTTTGATGTAAAACCATCCATCTAACGGATTATAATGAGTGAAGTCCGTTATATGGAGGTTTTTACTGCACTGTACACTGGATGTAATGTTTATGTACAGTACTCAATATATTACACTGTCCAATACCTTAACATTTTTCGACCGGAATATTGTGTATAACATGGAATATGTATATGGATTGTATCTTACACTATATTTGGATAAAACGACACAGGGGAAACTCTGAAGCACCTTAGCTTTCCTCTTTATACAGTACATGAGGGCAGTCCTAAGAGGTTGGGACTCAGTCAACACCCAGATGTAATGACTGTAGGTAGAAGATGCAGTGTGCATTAGGTGGCAAGTGAAGGATGTACAGTAGCTAAAACAACTATCTGTGCAGGTGGGGGTCGATATGCTCCCCCGAAATTTTACGTGTGACTAGTGACAGCCCTCATATACCAATATATTTTATCGTCCCTGGTCTCGCATTGTTTCTCACAAAGTTTGCACAGATAGTTGTTTTAGCTACTGTACATAGAGTTCAAAAAGTCAGTTTATTCTCTTATTCGTCTTCTCACTCCCTGTATAACGATTAATTTAACACACCACAATTAGGAATGGTTGAAGTTTGAAAAGAGAGTTTGGGGATATCTGACGAGCATTGAAAGTCGTTGGTTTTATACCAGTACTGTACAGTGAGTATATGAAATGTCATTTAAAGATTAGTGGAGGTTTTCAAAAGAGATCATTACAGTACATATTTCTTCAATATATTCATGAGTAACCAAGGCTAAACGGTATACTAGTTATGTTGGAATGTGGGGTTCAAGTCCCGGTCAATAACAACAGCACCTGACACAAAACATAACCTATTGTCAGTTTGTCATAGCGTCGTTTAATGTCGCCCTAGTGCTTATTATGTTTTTTTGCGATCTTTTATTGTCTTGTGTTATTACTATAATTATCATACTTCCATTCAGCATCGGTTATTTGAGAAGCTAGAGTTGGTAGAAGGTATCGCTGCTGTAGGTTAGGTGTTGTTCTGGGTCAAATCTAAGTAATGAGCTTGGTATTTATGAAAAACGAAGCCTTTTATAAAAGATCAAACTCACTAGTAAGCTATTTTTTGTCATCTAATTTGTAAAAAAAAAAAAGAAAAAAAAAAAGTAAAAATAGTCCGTTCAGAGAGTTTGTTCATTATATTCCACTAACAAGTAAAATACACAGTGATTGTAACTGGTAGATAGTTCCAGTGTTTTTGCTAAGTTACTAATTGTCAATGATTCAACGATAGACCTTGTGAAGTAGTAGCTGGCCTGGCCACACTTTATTCTGCTCACCACAGACCGGCGGCGGCCTGTTGGTCACTTGGGAGGTCGGTCATGTCCGGTATGCATTGTCGGCAAATACTGGGAATTGGAAATTAGTATATGATGGCTTTAGTGATTACCCTAAGTCAAGCTGTTTTACAATATCTGTAGACCTGCACTAGATTGTTTGTACTGTACTCTTGTCAACAGAAGTCTTGTCACCTCACACGATTCTCTGGGTTCATGGATATTTTTTATTTGCTCCCGAGTCCCGAGGGGGCTAGTTTATTGGGCACCCCCTTGTCATCCTGTGCAGAAGAGTTTACAGCGCCCATCTGGGAAGCATGCGTAGTTCAGGCTTGCCTTCATGACTCATGCATCAAGGGCGTAAAAGCCTGGGTTTTGTCAGCAAGTTACATAAAGTGATAGAATGATGAGTGTGTGGGGGGAAGGTTCCCGGTACATTTTATCTGTTTATGGCAAAGTGTGGCAGGTCCCTAGTGCCAGGCCTGTCTCTGGGAGGAGGGATATCTGGTCAGGGAGGGAAGAGGTGTTAGTAGGTAAGAAAGTCAGGAGTTACCCCGGGAGTTTGAGTCGGGCCCCTGGGAGCAGAGAGAGGTGGGTGAGGTGACAGGACTATTGGCCAGTGTACAGTACATAATTTGTATACCTGGAATGTCTGTGTATATAATTTGTATATTTGTACTTCTCTTTTCATTGTAAGTACAACATACCTGTAGTCTATATTGTATACTTACATATTTTGTATAAGAGCTGAATCATTGTAAAATTATGACGATTTTACGAGGGAAATATCTATCTATCTATATATCCTAGGGCATATTTAATTAAGTTTGAAAGGTTAATACTGTAATCGTTTTATCAAAGTTTTCCGCTCGGATTCATTACCGTGTCACTACCGGTTATTGAATCACTAATATTGTAAAGAGTAGGAAGTGACGAAGAATGTTTGAAGAGAAAGTTGAGGGAACAGATTACAGGAAAAACCCCAAGGTCACGAGTATCCTGAGGGGAGGAAAGTGAAAGTGATTCCTGGAACGTTGTAGGCCTAGTCTCTGGGTTTATACATAACGTGGTCTTTGAGGAAGCTACTCTATCCACCATTTTATATGTTGTTTCGCAGGTAGGCTGTGTGTACATTATGTGAGCCAGAATCACCATGTACACACCCCCCCCCCTCCCCCAACCACCTCCACGACCTCCTATGACGTGTTATTTAAGTCTTGATATTATCCCATTGTTGTTGAAAATAGATGTGTATTTTCGCATGACAAGTTAAATAGAGTTAGGAGCTTCTTACTGTGTTCTCTGTACAGTAGTATGTATTCATGAACAGTTTATTTAAGTTTGTAAATGGCGATACATGATTATTATTTATTCAACAAGATGGTGATATGAATGGCTACAAGAGTGTATTTAATTTATCTATACACTAGTCGTAAGGGAAGTATTTCCTCATAGCCTCACGGTAAAAAAATGACTGGATTGAGGTTTGAAGCCCAGTCAAACTTATAGTATTGGTTATAAGTTGACTAGCTTCCAACTGAAGAACACCACTAAATATAACTTAGTTTGTTGGGATTATATTACTGAAAATATAAAGATATAAATACATGTAAAGAGAGTTTGTGACAAGTGCAAGCAATAAAATTGTTCGTCACTCAGACACTACTTAATGTATTGGTAACTGTTGAGGGGTCATACTGCAGTTGTGTGTAGTGGGATCACATAATGTTACTCCTGAGATGAGGTGTTGATTAACAGGTTACCTGGCACGCGGCCAACTGGTCTTGTTTTATCAGTTTTATTGACATTTAAAACTCGTCTTTTTAAAATTAAAGTTTGTCTCTTAAACCCAGATTATTACACAACGGGACGAATGTTTCCAGATGCATTGTAGTAGTCATAGTACAATGGCACCAGTCTCGAGGTATTAAAGTTAACCTTAAAGCATTGTGGTCATATGGGGTATGGGATGTTTGGGTTCACACTCAGGATGGGATGGAGAAAGGAAACTCACAATGTGCTCACTGTATACATATTGTATTGGATGTACAATGCAGCTTGGTGCTGGGAAGTGGCAGCGTGGTTACAAGCGTGATGTAGAGAGAGCTGGTTGGTGAGGATGCCCAGAGGAGAACAGCTTGTGGGTCGCCATGCTTGCCGGCGGGAGCGAGGGCCGCCAGGCAGCAGTGGAGGACGTGGTGTAGCTTGCTGTGGCTGTAGCTAGAGGAAGAGAGAGGTCACCATGAGGTCAGGTCTTAAATAGCGGGGGTAGGCGTGGCTTAGTAGTTGACCTCCGTGATGTATGGCGGCGCTGGTTGACCCAGACCACGAGGCATACACTGGGGAATTCGCGGGGTCGGCTACTCAGCGACAAACAGCGTTTGTAGGGGAGAAATCCACTACAATACTCCCCCCTTCCCTCCAGGCGGTGTAGGAGACTTGTTGTCTGCATGGTTGCATGGCACATGTGAGGCAGAACTGGCGGTGCGTGCCACATGTGAGCCATAACGGCGATGGCGTGGATGAGCCGACCGCTAGAGGAGACAACTGTCTAGATACACAATACCTGTGGGAGTAGAGAGGGAGAAAAAGGGTGTGTGGAGGCGATGAATGTTGTACTTCCCTCACGGCAGGTACAGAGTCGTCAGATGCGCCTGCTGGGGTGTGTGGGCCTGGGTCAGGAGCAGGGGCTGCATCAGCAGAAGCGGATGAGGGCTCGTGACAGCAGTTGGGTCCACGACAGCAGCAGGGTGCAGGACAGTAGCAGGGAGTACCTGAGGGAGAAAAGAGGGGTGTGTTGGTCCGCACTCAGGCGCATGGGCCGCGTCGGGAGCAGGGGCTGCATCAGGAGGAGCGGCAGGGGGTACTGCTGGGCCGGGGGCGGCGTCTGAGGCAGGACGGGTGTGCTGGGGTCGGTAGGACGTGGTGCTTGGGGCTGGTGTCTGCTTAGAGAAGTAGTGCTGCTCTAGGGTGTCTAACCTGCGGTTTAGAGACAGTAGCTGTAGAGCCGATGAGAGCTGCTTCTGGCTGGATAAGCCAGTCTTCCATGTTGCTTGAAGACTGGGAGCGTGATCTGTTTCTCCTCCATCCTGTGTGAGTGCAAATCTCCGGGGTCACCATTTGTGGGAGATGGGATGTTTGGGTTCACACTCAGGATGGGATGGAGAAAGGAAACTCACAATGTGCTCACTGTATACATATTGTATTGGATGTACAATGCAGCTTGGTGCTGGGAAGTGGCAGCGTGGTTACAAGCGTGATGTGGAGAGCTGGTTGGTGAGGATGCCCAGAGGAGGACAGCTTGTGGGTCGCCATGCTCGCCGGCGGGAGCGAGGGCCGCCAGGCAGTGGCGGAGGAGGTGGTGTAGCTTGCTGCGGCTGTAGCTAGAGGAAGAGAGAGGTCACCACGAGGTCAGGTCTTAAATAGCGGGGGTAGGCGTGGCTTAGTAGTTGACCTCCGTGATGTATGGCGGCGCTGGTCGACCCAGACCACGAGGCATACACTGGGGAATTCGCGGGGTCGGCTACTCAGCGACAAACAGCGTTTGTAGGGGAGAAATCCACTACAGTCATGCAAGATGCGTTGATGTATTTATGTAAGTTTTATGTAATCAAAACTAGACTGAATGTGTTGAATTATTACTCTTTTATAAAGTGAAGGAAGTCTGGAGTTTATAATATTTTCCAGTTGTTTACATTAGGGACCAGTGGGATAGTAGGAAAAGTTGGATCAAGGAGAATACAGTACTGTACTCTAGGTCTAGGAGGAGAGTTTTATCCCACCGACGATGGCGCCGCCAAGCTTCTGGTAAGTTGAAACTCAGTTAAGCCCACTACACCGCACCTGATATTGTTTATTTTTTATTATTTTTGGGGGGTGTGTGATTTTGGATTATTTTATCATTCGCCACTTATCTGGTCTGATCTTATCTCACCAGATTGTTCAGTTAAAACAATTTATATCTAGTTTAAGTTATTTAGATATCTAGGAGTAATGTCTCAGCTACTCACTAATTAATTTGCAGAATAAATATAATATTTACCTATTTATGGGAATATATTGTACGTACTGTTACTCCTTTGGGTTCTTTAGTAAGGCGATGGTGGCAGCTACAGTGAATGGTGTAACACTTGTGTGAAGCTTTACACCAGTTTACACCATTTAGCCTGAACAAAATATCACAGACAGTATTAAACTTTTATCTCAAATATGTACATTATTATATAGCTTATCCATTTCTAATTACTAATTCAGACAATGGGAAATACTGTGGTCTTACACACTAAATGAATTACCTAAAAAAGTCTGGAACATATCAGAGTATACCATATGCATGTGTGTGGGTGACAGCCATTACCCTTGGTGCTTAACATAGAGATAAGATACAATTAGCTGTTAAGGATATCATGTTACGACATTTATACCAGCCAAGTAGTTTACCTCTGGTCTGTACAGTAATGTGTTTCTTACATTAACACTTATATATTGTACTGTACAGTAATGTGTTTCTTACATATACTGTACATGTTTGACCTGATATACTGTACATGTTTGACCTAATATACTGTACGTTTGACCTGATATACTGTACATGTTGACCTGATATACTGTACATGTTGACCTAATATACTGTACATGTTGACCTAATATACTGTACATGTTGACCTGATATACTGTACATGTTGACCTGATATACTGTACATGTTGACCTGATATACTGTACATGTTGACCTAATATATATACTGTATATATGTGTGTGTGTGTTTTTGTTGCAGGTGTAGCTGGGATGTGTGCTAAGACAACAGTGGCACCTCTAGATCGAATCAAAATCCTCCTCCAGGCTCACAATAAACACTACAAGCATGACGGTATGTTTTTTTTTTCTTTCTTTTTTTAATATGGGGATTAGCCCACTCAGGCACACTGACAAACATCGGGGCCAGGGAGGCGAATATGTAATAATAATAATAATAATAATAATAATAATAATAATAATAATAATAATAATAATAATAAAGAACCATAAAGTAATACAAAAATTTAATAAAGATCAATAGGGAGAAATAATATATGTATGTTGTGTTGTGTTGTCAGGGAAACAACTGAGACCCTACAACTGTGTGTAAATGAGGCAGAAAGTCAGATCATCAACCTGGTCACATATGGCAGCAGGGTCTACCATTAGACAACACATTATGCTTCCAATATCTTCCTCCCTGTTTGATAGCTGCCCACTATGTTAATAATATCGTTAATGTTAAACTTCATTATCATTACATGTTGGATCAATAACCTTCACTACATAACACTACAATCATGACAATATTGTTTAAGTTATCGCAGGAGTTAAGTTATTGTAATTATGTTATTGCAGGTGTTTTCAGCGGGTTAAGAAACATCGTCGCCAAAGAAAACGTCTGGGCTTTATACAAGGGAAATGGTGCCCAGATGGTTCGAATCTTCCCATATGCTTCTACACAGTTCACATCTTTTGAACTTTATAAGAAGGTCTGTGGAACATTTTGAACTCATTATATAGATACAGTTAAGCTACTGTTAACATCTTTTGAACATTTTGTACTGTATAGATTATTGAACACATTATATAGACACAGTTAAACCACACTGTTCACATATTTTTAACTTTATAAGAAGGTCTGTTGAACATTTTGAACAAATTATATAGACAATTACTTAAGAGGCTTCCAATAGTAGACTAAACTGTTATTTATATAATCACAAAATACACTGGGACATTATTTATAGAAGTACTGTACTGTTTTATACTGTACTGTCCTGTATTATACTGTACTGTATTATACTGTACTGTATTATACTGTATTACCTCAACCATAGCCATGTTTAATCACCAATCTTACTTACAGGTACTAAACAACCTATGGGGTCACAATAAATACCTCAACAAAACTACCTCAGCAATAGCAGGATCACTAGCAGGGGTAACTGCAGTGTTCCTCACGTACCCACTTGACACTATAAGAGCCAGACTAGCGTTCCAGGTGTCGGGGGAACATTTATACACTGGTATATTGAACGCCGCCACCACTATATTTCAGACGGTAAGTAATTTATTTGCATATAGGTCTTGCTTGTGAGAGAGACAGACAGACAGACATAAATCCATTAGGTTGTAATACATTGGTCTATCCAGAAGTCATACATGTTGGCAACACTGGCGGTCGTGTCTTATATGAAATGAAAGTCTTTAATAATTACAAAGTTTTAATTATTTTCTGTAGTGTTTTATTTTGTTTTAATTCATCAGTCAATGGTAACTTTAAAACATATATTACCTGTTAATTATTTACTGTATTATATTGTTTTAACTGGATCCTAAGGTTCTATGGTTTCCAGTAGACTATCTACACTAATCATATCATCTAAGAAAGTAATCATGGCAGAAAATTAACAAAATAGAATAAATAACAGACATAACGGTAAAATATTATACAGTAAACCCCCACTTTACGCGGTTTCACTTTACGCGGTGCCCTGCCGAAACCTTAATGCTCACTTTCCGCGGTGTGTGTACCCCTTTACGCGGAGAGCGGAGCGAGCAGGGTGCGCACAAGGTAGCCCAGTCATCAAAACATTACCGAGTTCTTCACCCGCCACCCACCACAGCCGGCCCAAGTCAGTGCTAATGATAGTGAGGATATGGACTTATATGGCCTTTGAGGGGTTTGACAAAGAGGCCCTGCAAGCCTCTGTGGTGGATAGTGATACAATTGATACAAGTGATACAGGTGAGGGCCAATAATCTGCCCTCTGCCTCGGAACCAACCCCCCATCCCCGTGTGCCCAGCCATCTTTTCTACTAATGTAAGTGTTAAAAAACCTAATATTATTGATATTTCTCTTAATTATTAATTGTGTGTGCATACCATCATAAAATTAAGAAGTTATTTTTACTACAACGTAGGTATTGTGTCTGAAAAAGTGGAGTTTGGGGGTCGGCCCGGTCTCTAAATCCCATATGTTATGTTGTTCACTTTACGCGGGCCGCTGTGGGTTCAATTGACCGCGTAAAGTGAGGGTTCACTGTATTATACATCGTGTCTCGGTAATATTTCGTTGTTTATTTATATATTTAGTGATTTATACCGATATTGTTTATAGGAAGGTGGTATGAGAGCTTTGTATAGAGGATTCACTGCTACTGTATGTGGTATGATTCCCTATGCAGGCCTGAGCTTCTACTGCTTTGAACAGATGAAGTACCTGTGTATGAAACATCTCCCTGACCAAACATGTAGGAGTTGTGATAAAAATACAGGTTAGTTGTATTAAATGTTTGTTGTTGGGTGTTTTATAGGCTGGAAGAATTGTTGTTGATGTGTGTGGGGAGGTTAGCCCTTTGATGATGGTGATTTAACCCTTTAATGACTGATTTAATCCTTTGATGGTGGTGATTTAACCCTTTGATGGCTATGATTTAACCCTTTGATGACTATGATTTAACCCTTTGATGACTATGATTTAACCCTTTGATGACTATGATTTAACCCTTTGATGACTATGATTTAACCCTTTGATGACTATGATTTAACCCTTTGATGGCTATGATTTAACCCTTTGATGACTATGATTTAACCCTTTGATGGTAATTTAACCTGGTCTGGCAGGATATAGTACAGTTAGTATCATTCCTTACAACAGGTGGTCTGGTCTTGTTAATTCCTGCCAAGCTCCTGTGTGGTGGTCTGGCAGGAGCCATCGCCCAGAGCTTCTCCTACCCTTTTGACGTCACCCGGCGGAGGATGCAGCTGGCCTGGATGACTGAGGAGACTCGTAAGTTTGGGTGAGTCCATCAACCGTTTGTTTTATTTAATTATATTCCGTGTTTATATTATTGTATTATCTTTATTGTCTTAAAAACAGTCACCTTTTTTATTGAAGAAATGGAGGTGTTATATTTTTTGTATCATTTATATTATACTGTAGTGTAATAGTTAATACTGTAGATTAAACTCTTATTTTAGTGGTTGTTTATATTACAGCACTATACTGTACTATATAGTCATTCACACTTGCTTCCCCTTCACTAAATTGTCTTAAAGAAGTAATATATTTACTGTTATTTTTTATATACCTTGTGTACATATATTTAAAGTACATTTTTGTAACCCCCTAGTTACTGTATTATTACATACAATACTGTACACTATACTGTAATATATATGTGTTAGTAGCCATGGTCTTTATAGTACAATACAGTATAGTACAATATATGCCTTCATTGTTAGTGTCAGATAACTTAGTCTTAGTTAAGTTAGATGTACACTACTATACTGTAGTCTATACTGTACTATACTGTAGCTTTATTTTATTTTGTCAGTATAAAGATACCATTAACTTATGTTTTTAATAGTAGTCATTAGCAGTTAATTTAATGACCTCATTTAATGTATATAAATTACCACTTGAAAGTTTTTTGTGTGATTTATGATGACATTTACAGTTTATGATGACTTATACTGCACACTTTATGGTGACTTATAGTACAGAGTTATTAGTGATGACTTGTTGTATTGTCTTATAAAAGGAGTTGTGTTAAATGTTTTAATTAGTGAAAATATATATGTTTCTCTCCATCTCTCTTTCATGTACTCTACTGTATTCCACTCTACTGTACTGTACTCTACTGTACTCAACTGGATGGTGCATTATACAGAGAGTAAGTTATATGATTATTTAGTTTAGTTATTAATGGTGATGATGTTATCTTTGTCACACTAAACTAATTTTTGTGTGCTTGTATGAATACTTTAGGTCTAACACTTATCCTGTATTGTATTGATCCTCACAACAATTTTATTGGCTTTTTATTTATTAACATTTTTATAATATTTACCCGTTAAATAATGTTAATCTAAATTATTACAATGATACAGTTAACCCTCTAAGATCTGGCCCTAAATAATGTTAATCTAAATTATTACAATGATACAGTTAACCCTCTAAGATCTGGCCCTAAATAATGTTAATCTAAATTATTACAATGATACAGTTAACCCTCTAAGATCTGGACCTGGTAAATTCAAGTTTAGGAAGATTGAGACATAATTTTGGGGGTTCTGGGCTAAGAAGTCTCCCTAAAAAGCATTCCCAAAACAGAGCAAAGATCATTTTAGGTTTGGTCAGGTCAGGTTAGGTGTGCGCTGCTTGACCCGGCAGTCACGCTGGACACAGGTTCCCGAGGAGATGGTAAACATAAACAGAGTTGTCAATTGTTGTTTTTTGGGGGATACTATTTCCTTCACTCTAATAATGATACAATGTTTATTATTATGTTGCCGTAGGTAAGTTAGACTACAAGATCCGTATTACGATCGTACGCCTGACAATAAGTGTGGGTCAGGGGAGAGAGTAAGTGATCGCTAGTTGGGCTTCGTCTGATCTTAACTCTCCTCCCTCTCTGATTTCACTGGATTTACTGTTATTATTACTATTTACTGATATTATAGTGATTATTAATGGCATTGTGGTTAGGTTAGACTCATGAATCCACCAGGCAGACTACTGGACCAAGCTGTGAGATGTTATGGTAGTTTTTCAAATACTATTTTTGGGCAGATATACATAACTTTATTTATTTTTATTGATATACTTACATACATACACCATCCTACATACACCATCATACATACATAATGTGAAAACGGTTAAAGAAATAATTGTCTTCAGGGCCAACACAGTGCGGGAGGAGAACTTGGAGTGTAGTTGGTGGGGGGGTGTTGGTCAGGGTGTAGCTGGTGAGGGGTGTTGGTCAGGGTGTAGTTGGTGGGGGGTGTTGGTCAGGGTGTAGCTGGTGGGGGGTGTTCAGGGGTCAGGGTGTAGCTGGTGAGGGGTGTTGGTCAGGGTAGGGTGTTCAGGGTGTAGCTGGTGAGGGGTGTTGGTCAGGGGTGTAGCTGGTGAGGGGTGTTGGTCAGGTGTAGCTGGTGGGGTGTTGGTCAGGGTGTAGCTGGTGAGGGTGTTGGTCAGGGTGTAGCTGGTGGGGGTGTTGGTCAGGGTGTAGCTGGTGGGGGGTATTGGTCAGGGTGTAGCAAGGAGTACAGGCAAATGGCGACTGTGTTAAACTTTCAATTGGCTTTTATTTACTACAGTAGTTTGGCAATTGAGTATTTTTTTTTATTGTTACTTATTTATTAGTTATTATTTTTACTTATTGCTCACATTTATTGATATTGTTTTTATTAAGATAACTATGGCTACAGGAGGGAAAAACTATGGCTACAGGAGGAAATAACTAGGGCTACAGGAGGAAAAATTATGGTTACAGGAGGAAATAACTAGGGCTACAGGAGGAAAAATTATGGCTACAGGAGGAAATAACTAGGGCTACAGGAGGAAAAATTATGGCTACAGGAGGAAATAACTAGGGCTACAGGAGGAAAATACACAAGAGTTAATCCCAAGTACTCCCTACTAAAATGGGGTGATGGGTGCATCTTATAGTATACCCGAATATGCTGTATGTATGTATATATGTATGCATGTATTTTTGTCAGTTTTACACCATTATTTATCACTTTCATACATTCACCGGAGGAGGATTGGCACAAATGGGTTATCAGGATCGCTGTAGAGTTACATCATGAGAATAACGACCTCTACACACTTCTACAGGATGGGTATGGTGGACACGTTACGTCTGATCTACAAGGAGAACGGGGTAACCAGAGGACTGTACCGAGGAATGAGCATCAACTACATGAGGGCAATACCTATGGTGGCTGTTTCGTTTTCAACCTATGAACTGACCAAACAGATGTTAGGCCTGGATACTGGGCTTGCTATTAAGATGGGGTAACTTTAGATTCTGGTGTAGGGTAGGATGTAGTGTAGGGTAGTAGTAGTGTAGGGTAGTAGTAGTGTAGTGTAGTGTAGAGTACTGTTGTGTTGTAGTCTTAGTGTAGAGTAGTGTAGTGTAGAGTACTGTTGTGTTGTAGTCTTAGTGTAGTGTATTGTAGTGTACTGTAGTATAGTGTACTGTAGTGTTTTATTCAAGAATTTGTACTCAATTTTTTAACTCCTATTTAATATAAAGCTTCAAGTGAATATAATCTGTAATTAATTTTGTCCATCAAGATGAAATAATTTGTGATATTGTTTATGACTGTACGTACATGATACTGTTTGAGTGTACGTACATGATACTGTTTATGACTGTACGTACATAACACTGTACACTGACACCTTGTTACTTAATGCACAGTATCATTTAATATGACCAATTAGAACAATTTAATTACATCGTTAAGTGATTTAATTGCTCACACTAATTAGGGTATACTGTACTTTGTTCCAGACCAACTAATATTGTTAACAGTTATCTGATATTTTTAATTACTTTTCTAATGATGAGGTGATTATACCCACTTGTTAACAAAAGACCTAATACACTAACGATGCTTAGAGGTCATAAGGTTAAGCGGGGACCTCCAGAACGTCTCTCATCGCTATCTTTTCTCATATTTCCTTTATTATGATGTTCGGTGCACAAATTTTCACATCAATTTTTTTTTTATGGGAAATTCAGGCAATGACTTGACAGTTAATGATGAATAATCGTTTAATGACCAAACGACACCAACAACAAAAACACCTTAACCAATCGGGGGCGGGGCATAGCTGGTAAACGAGTTAATTTAATCATATATACGATACTGTCGTCCTTGTGGTGTGGTGGTAGGGATGCCTGTTCACACACAAGAGGTCCAGAGTTTGATTCCCAACATGAGGTATTGACTATAGTACAGTATATATGTAACATTTCACCTATTCACACCAACTTTTTATGTGGTTAAATTAAATAGATTTATGTTAATGTGTGGTGGTGGTAGATATAATACAATGGTTGAAAGACTTAAAAGTGGATAATGATTATTGAAGAATATTCACCAAGAAATTCATTATGGTGGCATAATGCTGATGTTAGCTGGTACTGTACTGTACTCTGGTCTACCCTACCCTACCCTACCTTACCCTACCCTACCTTACCCTGCTCTCTCCTACCTTACCCTACCCTACCCTACTCTACTCTATCCTACCCTACTCTACCTTACCCTGCTCTCTCCTACCCTACCCTACTCTACTCTTATCATACATCTTACAGTATAAGTCGTATTAGCTCTTTATGAGAAGGACTATACTGTACTGTATGCAATTGTTATTCTTGTTATAATTTGTAAATATTAAACAAATAAAAAAAATAAAAAATTACTAACATAAAATAGAGATAAAAATTGAGAGAATATTATTGATATTTTAATCTTTTACATCGGAGAACTACGCACACATACACATTTACATATATTACATACACACATAACATACTTATACACACACACATATAACATACATACATTCCATACACAAACACACATAACATACCGTAAACACACACACACACACACACACACACACACAGCTGTAATATCCCATCATACAATAGAAGATAATAATTATGTTTTTGTTCTTATAATAAATGAAATATTAAAGATACGGAAATACAGTAATACAATAATACAGTATGTAATATATTATACACCCACTAAAATATTATTTGGCACTCTTACTGTGTGATACAATATGACACAGGTGTAAAATAATATTTTAGTGGGTGGACAATATAAGTTTTATACTGTACCCAAGAAAAATACAGAATACAGCTGCTCCTCGACTTACGATGGGGTTAGGGACCCAAATCCTGGTCGTAAGTCGAAAATTATTAAATAATACATAGAAAATCTAAAATGGGTGTCTCTTTTTCTTCTCAGCACCACAAAACTCTCACTTTTAAAGTGAATTACAAACGAAAATTTTGTCAGTACACAGCACAATCACTAACGTCCGGACTCGAAAATACGTAATTTTAAAAATTTTGGTTCGAATGAGGCGGTCGTATGTCTGGGTGGTCGTAAGTTGAGTAGGTCGTATGTCTGGGTGGTCGTAAGTTGAGTAGGTCGTATGTCTGGGTGGTCGTAAGTTGAGTAGGTTGTATGTCCGGGTGGTCGTAAGTCGAGTAGGTCGTATGTCCGGGTGGTCGTAAGTTGAGTAGGTTGTATGTCCGGGTGGTCGTAAGTTGAGTAGGTCGTATGTCCGGGTGGTCGTAGTTGAGTAGGTCGTATGTCCGGGTGGTCGTAAGTTGAGTAGGTCGTATGTCCGGGTGGTCGTAAGTTGAGTAGGTCGTATGTCCGGGTGGTCGTAAGTTGAGTAGGTCGTATGTCTGGGTGGTCGTAAGTTGAGTAGGTCGTATAAGTTGAGTCGGTCGTATGTCCGGGTGGTCGTAAGTTGAGTAGGTCGTATGTCCGGGTGGTCGTAAGTTGAGTAGGTCGTATGCCTAGGAGTAGCTGTACTTGTGTGTTTGGGGAAGTTGCTTATGACATAACAGTGTATTAAGAAATTTTATTTTTTGGGGACAGGATGTGTAGCTGAGTTAGATTAAGTAATGGTATATTATTGTACAGTACAGGGGGTCCCCGGGTTAGGTTTGGTTAGGGTTAGGTTAGGTTAGGGTCTGATATAGTAGTACAGATGTTTGTAAGTCGGGCGTTCATAAAGCAGGGATCTCCTGTACATCGCATAATATTTTTGATCAAATATGAAACTTATTATAATACATAAACACAACAAATTAGGTTAATCAATTTAAATGATTTCAAAATGCATATAACTGTACCATACTTTATTATGTACATATATATATACCCTGTATGTATATAACTGTACTGTACTTTATTATATATATACTGTATATATATATATATGTATGTTTATATTATACAGTATATGTGTGTATATAACTGTACTGTACTTTATTATATATATGTACTCTGTATGTATGTTATATTATACAGTATAAATTTATATTTCTATGTAAATTTGCAATATAATATTTTACAGATTTTACAATTAATGTTTAAGGTGCCAGATAAAAGGTCCAATAAATTACTGAAAGTTTATATACAGTATTGATCTTTTATTTATATACAAGATAAAATTTATTATCTGAGTGTGTTTCCCCTTGATGTATATTACAGTATATCCTGCTGTAATGATGGTGATGTATTATATCCTGCTGTATTGTCTGCCCCCCATCAACCATGAGGTACAGTATATAACCGATATGCAAGTTGTCGTAAAGCATGAAGGCCTTGATGTACTGGAGGGGTGACAATGATAAAAAGCATGCAGAAGGCCTGACCAATACAGTGTTTAGGATGATGCAAGTTGTCGTAGAAGCTATGAAGGTCAAGATGGTATTGCCCTGAATTGCATAGTCAAGGTGAAAGAGGCTATTGTGTCATAAGGAAATGAGTTCCCTAGGGACGAAATAGATGAAGCTGGAGCCCTGTTGGTTGCCAACTAGAGCAAGTTGGGGAAAGAGATCCTTTGCCAAGACTGGAGGAAGTAGCTGATAGAATGGAGGTGGTTGTTAAGAGAGTTCTGATGAGGCATTAGCAGGGCCACGGGAGTGTGGCAGAGTAATGCAGGATCAGAACAGGTTCTACAGCAGCTAGGACTCTGAAGAAGTGTGTCAAGAAATTAAAATTAACGACCTACTGTTAGGGAGAGGAGGAACAACGGGAACGTCTCCAGTGAACAATGTAATAGTTTCTTGGAGTCCCCGAGAGCCAGGCGCGGAGGAACTGTGAGGCAGTAAACACACGCATAAAGGTGCAGTTTAAAAATATTTGTACAGAGTGTTCTGAAGATGCCATCAACCCCAGGATGGAGGAGGCTGGGACAAAGCAGGGGATACCTCGCCTCAGGATCACACTAGGTTAGTGAGAGGAGGAAAAAATGGCAGGTTATTCGCAGGCAAAAAACTTAGCAAGGAGCTAGGCATTTCGGGATGTATCTATTCACCCAGATTGCACGGTAATACAGAGGAACAGCACAAGAAGCTCCTGCAGGACTTGAAGCAGAAGAGGGAGGAGCTGAGGAGGAACGGGGGACGGATGCATGGGTTATATTCAGGAGGGGTAGGGAAACAAGTGTGCCCACACAGGACCAGGGGCAGCAGCACCCTCCAACTCGGGCCTACCCCCCACCCAGGAGGTGGCACCTCAGCCCGCCTACCAGACAGTAGGAGTGCGAGCCACCATGTAAACAGTGTGACATTTCTAACCACACCCTGCAAAATACAATGTACAGTACTTTCAAATGCTGCAGCTTCTGAGAATTGGGTGGGGGGTGAGAGTTAATACTTAAGAGCAGAGACGTTACTGAGAACAAATTCTGGCTTGAATGTCATGTACACTAATATTGACACGTTCCTTGATATGAGAGAGGAGTTTAAAACACTGCTGAAGTACACCAACCAGATATTGTAGGTGATGTAGAACTGTTGTACAAGAACAGGAGAATCGACCCAGAGGAATGTGAGTTCACTATTGCTGGATATGATTCATTTACAAACCTTTCTCAAGAAACTTGCAAGAGGGCTGTGGTTATCTATGCTGGGCAAGACCTTAGAGCCAGCCAGGTGAGGGTACAGGGGAAGGATGTTTTAGAAGAGTCCAAGTGGTGTAAAATTAAATTAAAGGGAGGGGACTTATTTATCATCGGGTATTGTGGCCCACTAAATAAAAGGAACTTAAGAGCCTTAATAGACAATGCGGCGATGTTCAACCCTAGCCGCCACCTTATCATGGGGGGCTTTAACTATGGCGACATCAACTGGAGAAACGAGCTCACCCCAAATGACTTGAATAACCCTGTTACTCTTTTCGTAGAAACTGAGAGATGATTTTCTGTTCCAACATGTTAGAGACCCGACACATTACAGAGGGGAGCAAACACCCAAGCCACTAGACCTCATCATAACAAACGAGGAGGGTATGGTGGCCAAACTGGAACACCTTGCCCCAGTTGGCACCAGTCACCATGTAGTGTTGTCATTCAGATTTAACTGTTACCTAGTTCAAGATAAGGCCAGGCCAAGGTGCAAATATTACAAGGGAAATTACAATGGGATGAGGTGAGAGGTATCCACTGGCCTGACTCACTAAGGCACAAGAACGCAGACACTACGCTGAATATCATGACTAGTAAAGTGACCCATTTGATCGATAAGTACATGCCCAAGACCAAGCCCAGTGCCTCTAGGAATATGAGGGGATCCTCACACATGAACCATGCGGCGGTCGACAAAGTTAAGAAGAAAACCCAGATATGCAAGATGTGGGTTGGGTCAAATGATGAGCAAGACAGGAGGATGTATGCAAGAGCCAGAAACCAAGCAAAGACAGAGTGTAGAAGGGCTGAAATGGAGTTCCAGAGGCTGGCTGCAAGTGAGGTCAAGTCAAACCCAAAGGCGTTTTACCGCTATGCAAAGTCAAAATTAAAAACGCGAGTAGGAGTATCAGACCTGAGGCTTGAAGATGGTAGTTACGCAGATTCTTCCCAGGATAAATTTGAGGCATTGAACAGCTTCTTTTCCTCGGCGTTCACAAGAGAGGATGCGATTAATCTTCCTGCGTTCACAGAAGAGGTTTTAAGAAATAAATTGTGAAAGCTAAAGGTCCATAAGAGTCCCGGCCCTGACATGGTGCATCCTAGAGTGCTAAGAGAGTTGTGCAACGAGCTTGCCGAGCCCCTGAAGATCCTGTTCTGTAAATGCCTGGATGAACAAAAGGTCCCCAGTGATTGGAAAGTGGCTTATGTGAGTCCTACCTTCAAGAAGGGCGATCGTCACTCCACGAGCAACTATAGACCGGTGAGCCTGACCAGAATAATATGTAAAGTACTTGAGAGTATTATCAGAGATGCCGCGATGGAATATCAACTACAAAACAACCTTGTAAAGGATTGCCAACACGGTTTTATGCCATGGCGCTCCTACTTAACACAATTGCTCAAGGTATTGGATATTTGGACCCATATTCTGGAACGGGGTGGTAATATTGACAATACTGTATATACTTAGATTTTGCCAAGGCTTTCGACAGTGTACCCCATGAAATGCTGAAAATCAAACTGGAGGGTACGGAATTTTGGAAAATATCCTAGCATGGATAGAAGACTTTCTACATGACCGCAAGCAGTGTGTGGTAATTAATGGCACGAAATCATCATCCGTACCTGTCACAAGTGAGGTACCACAGGCCAGTGTATTGGGCCCGTTGTTGTTTTTTTGTTTCATAAATGACATGCCTGACGTTGTACACTCCTCCATACAAATGTTTGCAGATGACGC